GATTCGGTAGCACCAGCGGCGATGGGGCAGAACCAGCAGCGAGCAAGGCCGAGGACGATGTCGAAGCAAGTGAGGGCTCCGACAACACCGCGAAGCGCAAGGGACAGCAGCAGCAGCAGCAGCAGCAGCAGCAGCCGCCGCCGCCGCCGCCGCCACGCCGGAATGACAAGGGCAAAGCGAAGGCGAGGGACTCAAGCGGCGGTAGTGGTGGTGGCGACAAGGGACGATCTTGTGACACCAAAGGTTCCAGTAGTACCGCACCAGGCGGTGTCGAGAAGAAGGCACTCAACCTCCCGAACGAGCTAGACCCCATCATGCTCGTCAAGGTCGGGAAGGACCACTACCGTTTCGTGCGACCGAATGGGATCGTTGTCATGTACAACCTGGACTCGCTTGTGGACTACTTCATCTCGACCGGGGACTTCCTGGAACCGGAAACCCGGCTGCCTTTTTCGGACGACCAGCTCCGAGACATCGACGGCAAGGTCAGCTTGGTGTTGAAACAACGTGCATCGCGTATGTATGGGCAGACTCACCCGCGGAGTAGATCCCCCGAGAGGGGCGTAAGAACCAGCAAGGAGCAGCGCTCAAGATCCGTTCTTGCAGTGCCAGCTTCGGTTTCGAATCACTCGTCCACCCTCCCCCTTCCCATTGAATGCATGGGCTAACCCGTCTCCAGGCGAAGGCGGCGGGACTGTCGAAGCCGAGCGTTCTAGCCGCCAAGCGGGACCCTGGCCGCTACGCCGAGCAGAAGTTCCAGCAGGATGCGCTCGTGGGTGAGAAGAGACTGCGGGGGTAAAATCTCACGACGCGGCTGTTGTCGGGGCGAAAGCCTCTGATCGTTTACAGATGTTTTTTTTTTTTTATCACCGGTGTCGATGGTACTCTCAAGCAAGACAGACTCACATGTTGATTGTTGTCGGAATACGAGGCTTCAATCGACACCGCAGTAGAGGGGGTGCTGTGTGGTCTGTTCAGAGGTTGCAGTTCAAGGAGAAAGGAGTGTTGTGACCTGGTTCCACCCCAGTGCAACCGGTCCACGCTTGCATGCCAAAGCGCTGTCCTCCCGTGTGCTGAGCACTGGCACAACCGACTCTCGCACCATTTTTGCTCAACGCGCTCGATTGTTCCGCGTGTGAAGGCTTGGAGCGGATGACTTCCGAGCTGGTGACGGGCATGCTTCTGGTCGTGGAGGAATGCGATCGGGAGGAAGGGGAGATTCGCCTCGTGGCGGAGATCTTCCCCCCCTTTGCGGATCTGTTCAAGCAGATCCTGGCGGCGGACAAGGCCTTCGCGCTGCAGTGCATGCAGCACTACAGGTCCTGGCTGGAGGGCCCTCCCAACCGCCCTACCGAAGACGAGGTGCGAGCTTAAGGTTAAGCGAGCTTGAGGTTAAGCGCCGGCCGCCGCCGCCACCACCACCACCACCGATGTTTGGCCTGCCTGTCTCCGTGCTTGTTTGTTTGTGAGGGCAAGTCTGGTTCGTTCTCATTTGGGCGGTGTGTTATATGGCAGAGCGGTTGCCGACCGACTACTTACGATGGTACGCGGGGACTTGAACGGAGAGGATTTAGGCCATAAAGTGCGGGGAGGCGCTGTCGTTGCCGCCGACAACATCATTTAGGGTAGAAACCAAATGTGTCTTCACGCGTGGTATGAACGAGTTTCTGCAAGTGCTAGGACGGGGCACGCGTAGCGTGGAGGTGCGAGGTCGATGGCGGAAGCAGTTAAAACACTTTCCATTGAAATCGTGCTTGGGTCACCCCCCCCCCCCCCC